CTGGACCAATCACAAAGGACTGCGCCATCTGACCAATCACAGCAGTGAGGGCTCACGGAAAGGAAGGGTTTAGAGAGACTGATTCTTTGAACTGCTTCGCACAAGTCATTTACGAATCATTTAGAAATGAGGTAAAATTAAATCTATTTTTTGAGAAAACTAACGTTTTTTTTTACCTTGCATGCATGTAAACCTGTTTTAGGAGACTCGTAAAACAATATTAGCAACCTTAAAAATGGCAGAATAGGGGCACTTTAAGGACCTTGATAGAAATGTAGTGACGTGAAAAGTACAATATTTGTCTTTCAAATGTAGTGATTTTTTTTTTTTTTTTTGCGGCCCATTCAAATACCTAATGTTAAGCCCTACACTTCTGGTTTCTCTTTCCTTTTGGCGCTGCTCAGAGGTGTTCCACCTATACACTTCATCACACACAGACGTTTGCCAAATCTGGAGTTGTTCAAAAGTGGAAAAGAAACAAGGGTCCATTTTTATCTGTACCACTGTCCTTTGATTGATCAATACTATGAGCCAGAACTAGGTTTCTTCTTGTGCAGATACTTGAATGCTGTGTTTGTATGTACTGTACACATTGACCTCATCGATTCTGGCATCTAAACAGATATGCATGGACATGACTTTAATTCCTTACGTTGACAGAAATGAGACAGCATATTAATCATTGTATAATTTATTATTATATCATTAATATTCTGCACATGATTACTCTTCAGTGCAGCAAATAGTTGTGACTGTTACATACAACTGTTTGTTTTTCTTTGTGTTTCAGGAATTCCAGTAAGTACTCCGTTATCACTGAGGCTTTAAATTCAGAACAAATGTGAGCTGGTCTGGAGGTGGGCAGATACAGCATGGCATGCCTTGTTGGCTTTGAAACCTTGATATAGACTGCAACTGAGGTGAGATCAGATGAAATGGAGAATATATGCTCCAGGAGACAGTTTCTGAATTGATCGCACTCCATTTTTCACTGTCTGGCATCCATCCTGACCGCCTGTATCGTAATAACCAGGCATGCCTTTAAAAAAATCCAACAGCTGATTCAAATCTTTTCGTGCCTTCACACAGATTGCATAGTAAACACTAGTACATGTTGAAATGTATGTGTACAATCCTCCTTATCATAGTTACAATGCAGCAGCACAACAGCTTTTATTGCTGTGGTTGCGTCACATTTCTCAACATGAGCAGAAAGCCACAATAATAAAGGAGAAGAGTGTGTAAACATGCATGGTTGCCCCAAACACGTTCAATTTTTATGAACGGTTTGTCACATAAGCTGTGTTTATGTATTGCAAGTGAACTAATAAAGACAATGGCAACAATGCAGTATGGAACACTTGAATAATGTCCATTCTTGTGCATATTTGGTGGGTTTGGGATGTAAACAGTCTTCTTTTTTAAATTCAGATACAATGGGTTTTTGTGGTTTTAATTGTACTGTTGCTTTTTCTTCATTAAATCCCTACAGGGCCCTCCAGGACGAGATGGCTACCCGGTAATTGTCAGTCCAGTTATACACTCACTGATCAACTGATCACGTCTGCTTTAACCACAAGCTCACACAGGACTTGTGGTCTCATGTAGACCTCAGCTGATAGGCAGTGTTAAGGGTCATAGTGCGCCACCTGCTGGACATATTAGAAATTATTGCTAAAAAAAAAACCTGAATAACCAAACAAGGTCATTCAACATTCAGCAGTTGACATTTAAAAAGTTCAATTCATGCATAAACATGCTGATGCCATTTGGGTTGGGTTTAAACTGCCAGATGAGACCTTGGGTGTGTTTCCTGAATGTATTGTTAGCCAACTATGGTTGCAAGTTCTGTCGTTACCAACATAGTTCTACGATTTGGCATTTCCTGAATCCATAATTCCAACAAACATTCGTAAACAGTATCGCAAAGTTGTGTGGTTGGATCTTGTGCTCGAACAAAAGCTAGTATGATCTATATCTTTCATTCTATACATAAATTGCATTCGATGTTGTTTCGTTTAAGAGAATTAACACTTTTTCGTTTTTAAAGAGTTCGCATGTGCATACGTACTCTGGTACCAAAGGGGAAATCCTGGGTGAAATAAGCAAACCTGCAAAATAAAGCAAAATAACAGAGAACAAACATAGCGAAGAAGTCCTCAGTTATAATGCCATTTACAGCGATAAACCATCATTAACAGCATTTCTAACCAACAAGGTTTGAATGTTGGATGTGCGACAAAGTTGTGACTAGCTAGTTTGTTTCTCCAACGTTGAATCGTACTATGGTGGTTAATTAGCAAATTATGTCGTTGTACAGGAAACACACATTACATTTACATTTAGACATTTACTTTTATCCAAAACGACTTACAAATGAGGACAATGGAAGCAATCAAAATCAACAAAAGAGCAATGATAAGCAAGTGCTATAACAAGTCTCAGTTAGCTTAATGCAGTACACGTAGCAAGGTTTTTTTTAAATCATATAATAAATAAAAAGAAAACAGATAGAATAGAAAAAGAATAGAGCAAGCTAGTGTTAGAGGCCTTTTTTGCTTTTGTTAATCAGTCAGAAAGTCAGAATTATAATTGTATAATGTTTTTTTTTTTAAAGAAAACAAGCAGTTAGTAAATAAATAGAGTGTCTAAAAGGGGCAAGTTTAAAAAAAAAGTTTAAATAAAGAATAGAATTAGAATAGAGTGAAGAATAGAATAGAATCCACTGCTTGGATTTAGTTGGGCAGATCATTCCACCAGGAGGGAACAGTTCATGAAAAAGTCTGTGAAACTGTGATTTTGTGCCTCTTTGGGCTGGTACAATAAAGTGCTGTTCACTTGCAGAATGCAAGCTTCTAGAGGGCACATAAGTCTGAAGTAATGAATTTAGGTAAAGGGGTGCAGAGCCAGTGGTGGTTTTGTAGGCAAATATTAATGCCTTGAATTTTATGCGAGCAGCTATTGGTAGCCAGTGCAAACTGATAAACAGAGGTGTGACGTGCATTCTTTTCGGCTCGTTAAAAATTAATCTTGCTGCCGCGTTCTGGATTAATTGTAAAGGTTTGATAGAACTGGCTGGAAGACCTGCCAAGAGAGCATTGCAATAGTCCAGCCTGGACAGAACAAGAGCTTGAACAAGGAGTTGTGAAGCATGTTCCAAAAGAAAGGGCCTGATCTTCTTGATGTTGACACACCCCAGATCTCTTATTTCTTTGTGCTTAAATTTGAGTAAATCAAGTGAAACTTCTAATGGGGTTAAACAAGTCAAAATACATCAATGTACTTTTTTTCACAAAGGTTTTCAAATGGTATATATAATGGTACAGATAATTGTATGCATATACAGCGTATTACACAGGCATACAATCCATCTGTATGCATAACCTGCCTATTAAAAATTAACCTTAAACCTCAGAAAAAAATAGTTTAAATTATCAATATTAGATAAGCTAATTTAATCATATAAAATTTTCTTATTTTAATCGTTATTATTAAAAAACAAGTTATTCTTGAATTTTTTAACCTATACACCTACACAACTCTTACAGAACAAAGAGATATTGTTCTTTCCAATAGCTTTGCTTTTAAAAGAGGCATTAGTTGCGTGAAGCCTCCCTGACAGGCCATCGTGATCCAGATGCGATCAGTTGCATGCGTTGGCAGCCTCCGCTCCGCATAAAGATCAACTGGGAAATATAGCCCTGTGTGAAGTCTCTCCAAGCATAACAAGAGAGCTGCTCCAAACTGAACCGCGCGCAGGACTGCACCACATGTGGCCCTTACCGGATTTCCAACTGCACTCAGAACTTTCACCACACGAGTCATCCATTTCTTCTACATCATGCTAAATAGACTGATATGTGCAACCCCTGCATGCTTTCTTGTCACTTGTTTGTTGTGAAAGTACAAGAACACACTGCCAGATCAAGACAGACAGCCCTATTGTCTGTGTTTCCTGACTATGTTGTTCAGAATAAAGACATTCAAGTCAGAAATCAGAAATATTTGTTTATCACTATATTTATTTTTAGTCCAATTTTACAATGTGTATACAACGTTATGTTGACATTGTTTTAATAGATGTTGCGTTCTACACCGCCTGTTTTACATTTATTATGACCTTTTGTTCTAAATGTTTTCCAATCAGAAAGTGCTTACTTTTAATTTAGTTAAGTATGTTGGCTTATATTTTTCACAGGTCAGAGAATTAAGGCTGATTTATACTTCTGCGTCGGACCTACGCCGTAGGCTATGCGTCAGTTTTCATTTATACTTCTGCGTCGTTGTCCGCGTCAACGTGCAGTACACGAGCAAACCGCTAGTCTGCAGTGTCCACGGGCATGTTGCTGGTGTAACCCGCAGTACCACGGCAAAAGCCGAAGAAGAAGCGGCTCGTCGGAGAAGCATTATAGCCGTGACGGCGGCAAATAAATATCAAATCATTAAATCATTATTTAAAACTACAAAAAGGAGACAACAACGGAACAGGAGATGATGGCATTCTTTCAATCTGCACAAGGACTTGTACCACGACAGATCACCATTGTTTGTTGCGGACAACTACTGATGTATAATGCTATGTAGTATAATAAATGATAAGACACTTGTTCTTTGCTTTGTTTTATTTTATATAAGAAGGTGTAACATTAAAATATATTAAAGTGCACATAAACACACACAAAACTCAAGTACATATGGAGGGAGGGGTTCTTGCAGACCAATCACAGTGCTTGCGGTCTGCGTAGAATTGACGGTTTTTTTTTTGTGTTTTTTGTTTTTTATTATGCAAAAAATATACAAAGATTTGTACAAGCATATACAACTCGCAGCAAGTACAACGTAGAATTGACGCGCTGTTAGATTTTTGGAGAGGTGCACGTCAGGCTACGGCGTATGGGTGTGCGTCTATGCGTAAGCTACGGCGTAGTTTCGACGCAGAAGTATAAATCAGCCTTTAGAGTGAACAGACCCCTTTCAGCACCTTCAGTGCCGTGGACAGCGACTTCCTGTCTTTTAGTCTGAGCTTACTGAAGCCAGTGATGATGGACTAAACCTTTCCTTCCTCTAATTATTTATAACAGCGGACCACTAATTATTATTACAAAAATATAATATTTTTGGAGTCCATCAAAGCTAAACTGTATGGTATTGATTTTATTGCGAACGATTAATCTATGTATGTAAAAACTTTTTACCTTAATTTTTAATCAAAATGTCAAAACTCGATCTTCCAGTGACACAACAAACTTCTCTCTTGTAAAGTATTCCGGACAGCTCTAATTATTTAGTCTGCTTAAACTCCTACCCTTTCTTACAATCGACTGCAGGCTTGCATTAAGATCTGCCTCCATCCAGTTAACATCCGATGTATAGACCAATTCAGAGTAGACGTCACAGTTACGTCACTGCCAGACGTATGATAATTATCGTATTTGTACGATAATTTTGACCTCTGTACAATCAATAATTAAAAAAATCCCATAATGTACAATAATTCTTTATATAAAAATACACATGATGGTAGTTGTAATCATAGGGTTTCTATACTCATCCACGAAATTGGCTCATTACAGACACTATAAATGCGCTTGTGCACACTTCAGAATGTGTTAAGAATTCAGGAGGGTGCCCTGCTTTTAAGCCAACGAGCACTATCTTGTGGTCCATGGCGGCATGAACCCCCTCAACATCTAGCAACACGCAGGCTTCCGATGACAGAGACTCACAGGTGGAGTTATTTATCTAGTTTTTTATCTATTGTGGTAATTTGCAGGTTGTGTCAAAAAGTTACTGGTCTAGATAAATAGCTGTATTCTGTACTCATGTACGATAATTTTCTTTCATATACGATAATTTTGAGCTTCTGGTACGATACTTGGACATTTCCAATCTGGCAACACTGATCCCACTCTCTAACGTCAATTTCGTTGAATAACAGTGCTTATCGCTGGGTGACAAGCTCTGTTAATATGCGGAGAACATTTTGAAAATGACATCTAATCAATATAATTTATAATCTTTTTAAACCTAACTATTTTGTACCCTATCCGTGAAATTCTCTAGCCGTAAAGGCTATCTCTCCCGGGTTTTCTGCAACCATGATGTGCACGCATCCTGAATGTTTACAAACCTATAATTGGTCTATAGGACCAAGTGTAACGGAGGCCAGCTGGTAAGGCAGTTAGGACCGGAGGGGTTACATTGGTGCCATGACCCGGATGGGAGGGAGGATTAGGGGGGTGAGTGTAACGGAGTCTCCCCTGATCTCAAGAGGTGCACAAGTGATTGACGCTAGAGGCTGTGGTCTTTAGCGTCCTTGTTAGTGCGCCCGCCTCCCGTAATGGCAACCCAGGTTCAAGTTCCACTCGACTTTTTCAAATATCCATTTTACTCAGATGCCTGTCACTATAGGGAAGAAATTATCAAAATCTAAAATTAAAATCCAATGTACATGATTGCACTAAAATAACTATAAAAACTTATTCTGAACAGAGTCTTATTCTGTTTCTGTCTCTCTCAGGGTCCAGTGGGTATGGATGGTAAGCCTGTAAGTACAACATAATTGGTTTAACTCCGGTTATCTGTAGGGATGTATATTTATTGCTGCACAGTAACACGCTGCTCATTATGCTGTAAAAAAATATAATAATTTCTTTCTTCTTAAAGGGACATCCAGGTCCAAACGGCAGTCAGGTAGGTTTTTTTATCATTTAAATCTGAAAACAACTGTATTATTGTGTGTTGTGTAATTCTGTCATGGGCCAGTTTGTAATACATCTTAGATTTCTAACAAAGTCATAACAGCAACATTTGGTATAAACCAGCCCCACCTCCTGGTTTGTACCGCACAGGTAATCTTCAGTCCATCACCTCATTCATAAGAGTGTGATTCTGGAAAGTAGTGTTAGATCTTATTCCTCAGGTTACTCCAGGGGCCAGTTGCACAAGCTGTGCGCAAGTAAAAAAGCGTAGTTGTGATGAAAATCGGCACTAAGTTACAATTTACGCGCTACTACATATTAAACTTAACTGAAATTTAACCTTACTTTGAAGGCTGCTCATTGGATCAATAAAGGTAAACATAATTTTTTGCAACTACATATTACAGAGGTCTTGTGACTTAGTAGAGTTGTGCCTTAAGAGCAATTGATACAACCCAAATTAAAGGGATACTACACCCAAAAATTAAAATACAGGCATCATTTACTCACCCTCATGTTGTTTCAAACCAATAAGACATACTTTGAAGAACTTTGGAAACCAAACAACAATGGAGCCCACTGACTTTAAATGTATTTACAAAAAAATTTCCTACAATTTTGGAACAACATGAAGATAAGTAAATGATGAGATAATTAAAATTTTTGGGTGGAGTATCCTATAAGTACAGAGTTAAGGCCTTTCCACACTGAGCGTGATGCGAAAAAGCGAGGCGAAACGCAGAAGAAAGGTGCTTTCACACCGAACGCGAAATGATTGTTCGCCTTCTGCTAATTCACGCCTGCACGCTAGGTGGCGCCGACCAACAATGCATTTTTCCTCAGATATGTATCTCGTAAATGGATTTAACATCATCCGCTGCTCAATATACAGCATTAAATTAAGATAAACAAGGTAATACACCAGAAACAAACTATCGATAATGCTTACAAGAATAGGCTACATCCTAAAATATAATTAGAAGTACAATTAGCATCAAGCTACACTTGAAAATGTATGTAATTATTAATTTATTTGCTTACCCACTTTAAACCATCATCGAGTGGTCATCATTCATCATTCTCTCTGTACATGCTACCTCTGGGAACCATTCTAAGACATCGGGTGTCTTTTCATTTTTACGCTGACAATACCCAAATTTATCTACCTATCAAAAGAAATGATCCCTCTGCATTTGCTTCTTTAATAAAATTCTTAGAAGTTAAATTTTGGCTAGCCCCAAATTTTTTATCCTTAAATGAAGATAAGACTGAGGTGATTGTTTTTGGACCCTCTGACAATTCTCAGGCATCCAGCTTAGATCTGGGTAGTTTATCAGTGTTTAGATCTTCACGTGTACGGAACCTGGGCATTTTGTTAGATGAGTCCTTAAACCTTGACAAACATATCTCCTCTGTAATAGGTTCTAGTTTTTATCAACTTCGCCTGCTATCAAAAATCAAACCTTTCTTAACGGGGTCCTATTATTAGGTCCTATTAGTCTGTAATGTTGCTGTTTGAGCATAAAAAATATCTGCAAAGTTACAAAGCTCAAAGTCCAATTCAAAAGGAGATATTTTATTTAACAGAATTCACTTTTCAAAAACTACAACGAACGACTCGTTTGGACTACAACGCATATTTTCCGGGATTTGTGATATCACAAATATCGATGAATGGGACGAGACCTGGTTGAGCTGCACTAGAGAAGGCAACAAGTGTTATCACTATGTCGGAGACACCCCAACGCAGACAAACTTAGAGTGGTTACAACCATCCGGGTTACAACCATCCAGATGCTTAAGATCCAGTGATCAGAATCTTCTTCTAGTCCCACAATCCAGACTCAAACATAGAGGGGATCGAGCTTTCTCAGTGGTTGGGTCGCGGCTGTGGAATAACCTCCCTTTAGAGATTACACTTGCCTACTTTTAAATCTCTCCTTAAAAACATATCTGTTTTCTTTGGCTTACAAATAATTTTCTATTATGGTCTTTGCTTAGTCTTTTATGGGTTTATACTTTGTTTCTCTTGTGTTATTAATATATTTACTTATTATTATATTTACTTATTTTATTATTAGTGCGAGACCCTGTTGTTGTTTAGTTTAATTGTTTAGTTGTGCTGATTTTTATATTCTTTTTACTATTTTTAATCTCTGTACAGCACTTTGGTCAGCCGTGTGGCTGTTTTATACGTGCTATATAAATAAATTGAAACTTGATCGAGTGCTTGTAATAACTTCCAATTGTGATCTATAGTTGATTTTGATTAATAAGCAGACACATGCACTCTTTTGTTGAATAACGCTTTAATAACGCTACACTACTGATATTTGTCATAAACATCCTTTATTGCTATAAAAATACCATGAGCTGCATACAAAACACATACAGAAAATATGTCGTCATAATCATGTCTATTTGCATTCATATTTCATGTGTAGAAAGTGAACGCGTTCTGACTAATAACACTCGCGCACGTGGAAGAAAATGGACGTTGCTCTACAGACCACATAATTCAGTGGACAATTAATAGAAATGTTATTCTGTATAAAGAACATGTGAGAATAAATCTGTTACACTGGTTTTCAAAACCAAGGTCTTGCCTTTTTGTGCAACAGCAGCTGCTCCGGCCACGTGATCCTAGCTCAAATCTTTTTGGACGGCCCAAAAAAAAACATTTGCATTTTCGGTGCGCGAATGTTCGCGGTCTATGTAGAAGCATCCATAGAAATCTATTGTTTTATTCCAGCGCGTCATCGCGTCCGATATTCGTTTCGCTTTTTCGCGCTCAGTGTGGAAAGGCCTTTAGGTACAAACTTACTAGCAGTTACTAAGAGCCCAATTCTGCACCTTACATCCCAAATTCAGTAAAAATGGCCGGTGCAACCCTATCCATGTCTTATACTCGTATATGTTTACATTGGGGAAGGCCAGCAGGGCCTCAGTGTCACTGTGTGGGAGAAATGAAGTGGTCGATGCCTCTTTTAAAACCCATTCGAAGGGTAAACATTGGAGCAATTAATTGCTCAGAACTGCATACAAGTTGGGTGAAGCACATCAGTGGAACACCAACAGTTTTTGCCAATTACGTCAAAGTTTAGAGTCACCGGTTTAAAATCACGCTCAAGAGGATGAATGTTTTCTTGCTAAAAGTGGAAGGGCACTTAAGTTGAGTGTTTACTTAAAGGACCATTGAAGATTAAAGAAAGAGGTGGGTGTTTTTGACTGGGCACACATCAACAAGAAGATCCGCAATAAACATCTTTATGTAACAGGAGAGATGTGCAACATCTCAACCTTATGTAAATGTTCTCCATCTGTGTTGAAGTCAGTATAATCTAGTGTAGCTTCTCCATCACAATCAAAGCATCAGAAAATGAAATCAAGTGATTTGTCCAGTGGCATCATTGTTTGGTCCAACAATAACACCCTCCAATCTATTACGTATTTTATGGCATATCGTGGCAATCTATAACAATAAAACTCCAGTCCGCTTTAAAAATATAAATGGTGACAAAAACTCTTCCAAGATTCCTGCGCTACCATTTTGTAACCCACAAATACGTATTTTGATCTCAAGTCAACATTAAGAGCACTTGGGACAAGACTATCATGTTTAACATTCTTTGAAAAATACCACTACACCACTGCACTGCTTACTGTGATGAAGCTCATACTTATGAAACAGAACTCAAAATTACAGCGTTCAAAGAGTTGCAGTGAACACAACACCACAGAGTACGATGGAATTGTGATAATCAGAATGTGTCTTGTTGTATTTGCGGTCTTGAGCAAAGTTTCCTGTGCGGACCGCTGAGCAGAATAAAACCAGAATAATATCATCCATTCCCTCAAACCAGCTGTCCACTCATGAAATAAGAGCTCTTGTGTTAAATTATATGCAGGAATCTTTGCTGTCATCAGGAATGGAATGTCATAACATTGTTTTATTTTTACTTTTCTATATCTTTCTTTTCATATTTTGTGATGTATTGGTTTTCATTTACTCAATCATTCATTCAAACACTCAGATTCAACCACTAAAACATCTGCCAGTCATTTCTGAGGGTGTAAGAGGTGTGACTTGTGGTTTGCAATGGAAATAGCCTGCATTGTTAAGAACAATTTTTAATCTGTCACTTTGAATCGTTCTCTTCTTTTGCCAGGGAATGCCGGGACCAAAAGGAGATAAGGTATATTCACCCCACAATACATTCCAGCATGATAAATGTGCAATTTATGGAGCTGTCAAAGCATAATGATAGTTTTGATTCAAAGAAACATATTCACGAGTATAAGCTAAGAGTTGCTCTCTCCACAGGGTGACCAGGGAGACATGGGTCCCAGGGTGAGTGTCACAAACATCTAATATTATGCTCAGTCAGAAGTCTTAGTTTACAGAGATTGCACTGATCTGAGGATGCCCCTTGACCTGGAAGTCAATTATAAAGCCATTTCCTTCCACATGGCAGGGCTTGGTTGCTAGCAGTTTTACATTACTGTGTTGATAGATGTAAAATCTTTATCTGTTCAACTAATTCCAATTACAACCTCAACTGTGAGCCTTGACAAATCAGGAATTCGCCGGTGCAGATCGCACCACTTTTCTATCTATATCTACTTGAACTATCATTTAAATCATTTGGCTCCCTATGCTTCTTTTCCACCATACCTCATGACCATTCAGCACAATTAGAAACATGTGCTTTGGCTGCTCTCTTTCTTTATGTTAAGAACATGTGTTGTATGCGCTACACTGTTTTTGCTTTACGCCATCAGTCTGACAGTAGAAAAATGAACCAAATCATTGAGAGTGGTGACATGAGCAGTCAGGAAAAGGAAAACAGCCTCTCCCATGGGCCGTGTTCCTCTTTTTGTGTGGATGTAAGAGCCAAATTAGCGCTTTTTCAACTGCATTGAAGCAGGAGGAGTATGACCCTTTGGAATCCATTAAAGCTCTCATGGGACAAGGACCCCTTGACCTGGAAGTCGATAAAAGCCGTGTTTCCTTCCAGATGGCAAGACTTGGGTTTGTAGTGCAGGTGGATAGTTGACCTTATGCTTACTCCTGACTTGTGACTTTTGCCCTTTGCCCTTTGCCCAGACATAGAAGAAGCAGATCAGACTCACAAAGTAGTCTTTGTGGCATCTGAGGCAGCCAAGAAGATTTGTTCTGCTAAGACGTATGCAGGGTTGTGTGCCATTCAGAACTGAATTGAGAATTCTGTTTAGTTTCCAGTTTGGTTCCTGAATTTGAAATGAGGTTGCAAACAGGATGCAGAATTGCCATTCAGATTTGAATGTAAGGTAATGAAGTTGAATTGAAATCCAAAAGAATTCACATAACTTTAAATTAGAAAAGCAAAGTTTAAAGTTGTGGGGAAAAAAAGGTTTAAAAAGTCATGAAGATTGAGGGTTTATAGGCCTTACAGATAGATAGATCATATGGCGCTTTTCAACTGCGTGGTACGACTCGGCTCGGCACGGCTCAGTACGGCACGGCTCGGTTCGGCTCGGTTAGCATTTCCACTGCAGTTTAGTATCGCTTTAGAGTGGGCGGGATTATTCACGTCGTTATAGTTGTGCCGCCTCTACTGCCGCGACTCCTAAAAAAACTTTTTCATTCCGCGTCGCCCCATCAAGCTCTTGCTGGATCCGCTCCTCTGCTATCAACGAGAGGAACGTCTGTACTTCCTCAATGGGGAACAGCCACTTTTTGGTTGTTAAAAAAAGGTGTGCTCGTTCAAAACAGTTGTGTTCGATCCTTCGCTGGCTGTGCTGATTTAAATCTAGCGGTTCTTTTGTGTTTGTGTCGCAAGTTCAGTGACGCAGGTAGTGACGATTCTCTCCGGCCAATACGTGATCAGCAGAGTTTACACGTCACGTTTTGGTAACGGTATGGTTCACTTGGAACCCCAACCCGAGGTGGTACTAAAAAAAGTACCAGGTACCAGGTACTGTACCCAGTGGAAAACCCCCCAAAAGTGAACCATACCGAGCCGTACCGTGCAGTACCATAGAAAAGCGCCAATAGAGATCATATGGTAGAGACTTACCATCCAGAATACCCCTAAAAATCATCTAGCAACAATCCAGAACACCAGAGCAACAAACTAAAAACTGCATGGTAATATTTTGGAAACCATGAAGATCATGGTGGCAAGTTGTGCATGGGCAAGCACCCATTTTCTGCTGACGAGGTAGAAATGTAGCTTAGGCATGCTGTGGTTCTTCTCTACGGCTTTTCAGTACAGTTCCTGCAGAGTACGTTTTTGTGCACAAACTCCCTTGACAATCTGTGAGAAAGAAAAATCATGAAAAAGTTTCTCCTGGGAAAAGTAGTCTTTCTTTGTGAATCCGTTGCAGACCTATCTAACTGCAACTCTAAACATAAACCTCATTGCCATGTGCTCCCATTGAAAGTTAATCATATCCAGAAGGTGTATTTGGGCTTGGTTTCTTAAAACAAAAGAATAGCCAGAATAACTCTCACAGGATTCAATTTCAAGTTGAAGCTCAGTTCTGCACAGAAGTACAATTATATTATACCCTCCATTATATGTATCGTAACAATGTCATTCTCCGAATCATCTCCTCTTTCTCACTTATGTAATTTCCTGCCTCCGTTTTCTTCTAAATGACCTCTGACCTCCCAGGGACCACCGGCCTACACTGCCTCTGCAGGCCTGCTCAGTAATCAGATTCTCACGGTTAAGGTTTGTCCTTCCCAGCCTATCATCTTTTGTCCATGTTCACAAACATCTGTGCCTCATACCTTACTTTATTTCACTTTGTTTTCCACTTCTCCTTTGTTCCCACAACCCTTTACGCTGAGGGAAGATGGTGCAAGCTGAATCTGTTTCTCCAGCTGTGATTACTGGCATCGCTGCTTTCTTTCTTATTCATTCTGTCCATCTTTCTCATTATCTTTCCTTTGCTGTTAGATGGTCTTCCCTCGCTATGAGCATGGCTTTCTCTCGGCTACAGTTGACCACCACACTTTTCACAGGCACCTTCTAAAGGTAGAGCTGGACTTGCGCATGAATGCCTTGCTGCTTTTCTTATTTTCTCCATTTCTTCTGTGTGTCCTTGGCCTCAATTAGCTCATCTGGCAGTTTACAATGTTGTGTTGCATGCCTGTTTTGAATTTCAAAGAAAGGATAATTGTTGTGTTTATTGACAAAAGAGACGAAAACATGTTTGCCAGACCACAGCAAATAATCAAGCCAAAATAACTTTTTGCCGTTTTTAGCCGTAAAAGTGTCTTGCATTATCTTAATATGTTAATCAAGAATCGTTTTTGTGAGGAACAAACATTTCTTCATACATAACTGCTCCTTGAAGCTTCGGCCCCAGAAGCATTTTAGCATTTGCCGCAACCAAACTCAATATATGAGACAAAATGAATGTGAAACATGGTTAGTATAACCAATGTAGGTAAAGTACCTATTCGAGATCAGAAACAACAGTGAAACTCTTTTCAAAGACAATATTAAAATACTTGTTCTCTCTCTGTCTTTAGGGTGATCAAGGTCAGGCTGGGCCCCCAGGACCTCCAGGAACACCTGGTCCCAGAGGGCCTCCAGGAAACACAGGCAGAGATGGGCCGCAGGGCCACCCAGGAGAGCCGGTGAGACACTTGCATTCTATCTCACATGGTCTCTTGTGCCTGTGTCTGTACTGAGCTCACTCATTCTACAGCTGTTGTGACTCATATATGAGTCACACTGTGCAGAAGACCCCACTCAGAAGACCAGGTGCAGCTTCTCACTGAGCTGAACCCTGTGCTCAGTGTTGGGTTCAGATATACTGCATTTGCTTCTACATATGTGTTCTTGGCAGATGCTCCCATATCACAGTGACTTGGTTTTAAAAATACATAGATTGTTTAAGACAGGTAGCTGTAGAATACATTTCAGGTGCAATGGTTGCTATGCGTTCAGAGTCACTAAAGTTTATTGACAAGGGTTTTAATGCATTGCTTTGTAGTATGTTCTTGGTGATTTCTAGGGTGAAAAGTCTGTGAAACACCAAGTCAACAGTCAGCTAACGTTGACTCCACTTTTGCATGTGTTCTGCACTGCTGGCACTACTAGGATCACCGTCAGCAGCTCTTCACCTGTTTGAGCATGTTGAATGGGTGAGGCATAGCACTCTGATTGGCTGTTCAAAGCCTAAAGTACAAAGAGCTCACCCCAAGTTTCTTTAATATTTCTTAGAGCCTGTGTACCTCCTTTTGTGTAAGTCTAATGGATTGCCAGTCAAGGCCTCCTTAGAATCCTCAACTTTGAATAGGGTTGCTTTAATATTTCGTTTTGCATTAACTTGTAGTTGTTTCATCTTCCATCACCTCAAAAATCATACAAAGCCTCAACATGCTGTTCTCAGTAATGCATTATATAACAGTCCGTGAGGTGGGATACTTAGTGATTGAACTTGCAGCTTCAGAGTATGTAACTCTGATGGTTTATGCATTTGCTTATCCCAACATATGTTCAGCACTTTATTTCCTTTTCAGACTACCATCTAATCCAAACAAAGAATGGTGCAATGATGAAGGGCAACAATTCTCACCCTGCTCTCTCCCTCATAATGGGAGCAGATGTTCTGGGGTCAAGAAGCTCAAAGGCCATTTCCTGTTATTGTATCCCAAATTGTGTTTATATATACCTAAGTGAAACCACCTCATTAGGCCTGATTCTGTGCCTTTGTCTTTCTCAGAAGTGCTGTGGAACATGACAAATAGACACAGCACTGTGGCACAAATCAAGACAGTAGATGTTTCTGTTGAGTGTCTGTAGGAATACATGAAGATGTACAAATTAATTTGATTTTAGGCAAGTGTTATGCAATATTTCTTCAATGTTAAATCCGTAGCTGACTTGAATACATTCTTGGAAGTTTACAGGACGTCTGCCAGAACAGTCTGAAATAGATGGTTAAAAGGCCATTGTGTGGTTGTTTACTGTTGTTTTGGTGTGTTCCAAAGTTACACTCCCATTAGCTGAATAACCTTGTCTGCGTTTAGAGAAAGAACCTGCGTCACTTCAGAGCTGCTGTCTGTATCAAAGAATTTAGACACATTTGGATCACTTTTTCTTCACTGACTTAATTAAAAGTAAAAGATTAGATTTAAGTAGTTATATTATACATCATAGATCTAAAAAGGTCTAGCATTTAGTGGACAGTCAAAAGAGACCTGCTCCTTTAAATATGACTAATTTCTTATGTTTGCTCTCTAAAATCAGGGTCCTCCTGGAAAAGATGGATATGAGGTAGAACTTCATTCATTTTTATTTTTTTTTACTTTTTATATGAACTAATTTTATTATTGATCTACAACTGAATGGAATTAAGCAATGCTGTTAAATGAGTTTGACATGTCATATCTTAATTACACACTGGTTTATGTAATGCACATTTTCCCTACAGGGACCAAGAGGGCCACCTGGCATAGAGGTATATACATGTCTACAAACATATGTGAATCACATGAGTGGTCCCTTAAATATTTTGGACACTTAAGCCAAAAGTAAAAAAAAATGTATGAATGTAGTATTAGTATAAAAATAATCAAAACAGCAATATCAAACCTAGTGGTATTTGTATGATAGTACAATTAAATGCTTAAAGCAAAACACAAAAACAAGTTTATTTCAAATACTAAAATGATAGATATGTTATTCAAAATAAGAAAAATATATTTGGACCCTGTCAGACACTATTGGAACATTAAATCACCTTGGTACCAGTTTGATAAAAGTAGTTTAAGTAAATAAATAACGAAAGATTTTAAGATTTTGATTCAAATTTTCTCTGTGTATTAACAACAGATTAATTGTTCACCTCAAGACTAGCAATGTGCACTAACAAAGTAAATAGTGTCAATTTTCATGTCATGCCCATTTAAGCCTTCAGAATTGTAAAATATTTTAATGTACATTTAATATTCACTACTACTTATTTTTCATTGCACAATATTTGCCTACAAAATTAATATCCATTGTTTTCTCATTAAGGGTATGAATGGTGTCAATGGCATGCCTGGCCCACAGGGCCCTGTAGGGGACAAGGTTAGATTTTCACCCCCTTTTTTTCTGTTTTCACACACACAAAGACAACCTTAATTTTTATGTAGTTGTTTGACACATAGGGGGATAAGGGTGCACCAGGTACTGAAGGGAAGAGAGGGACTGATGGATCCCCTGGCATGAAGGTGAGCTGTCTGTTGAGAAGCTGGTAATTATAATAAGAATATTCAGTTATAGTGTTGATGAGATCTATGTAGTTTCATTTAGGTCTGCTTACTGAAACAATACAATAATCCTGATCCCTTAGGGTGAAAAGGGGGATGGTGGAGATCCAGGACCCCAGGTGAATGTTTAACAAAGTCTTTTCTTCATTACATATTTATTTTTGAACATCTTAGATGCTTGACAGTCATTTCCATCTGTCTCTCTCAGGGAGGAGCTACTGGCTTCATAGAAAATGCTGATCTGGATGTTAGACTCAAAGCTCTACAGGTACATTTCAGTTAGAAAAATGGCAATTGTGTAAAGACCCTTCTGTTATCTCTAGTAATTACTTTTTGTATTGATATTTTCTTTGTACCAATAGGGGCCTCCAGGACCTCCAGGAGAGCAAGGGCCAAAAGTGAGTTATATGTTTTCATTGAACTGCATCATCATACACCAGTTACTATTGCTGGAACACATAACATTCAGATATATCTCAAAAATGTCTTCATAACAGGGAGAAATGGGCTTAGCTGGGGCACCAGGACCTGAAGGAAAGCAGGTTTGTTCATACACAGTCTGATTATAGTTATACAAGTGTACGGCTTTAAATAGCTTGATGTTTCATCCAGGGCCATAAGGGAGAGAGAGGTGATGCAGGAGAGCCTGGAGCAGCAGGAGCAAAAGGGGAAAAGGGGGAAATTGGACTGATAGGGCCTTCAGTGAGTATTACCATCATATTACATGTCATGCTTACTGCTTACTGATATAAGGTTATATGATACATGTTGATTTGTCATGGCATTTTAGGGCGAAGCAGGGCAAAAGGGAGATAAAGGAGACTCTAGGCTTGAGGACAATCTGGTGAGTTTAAAACACACTTATATGAAGATCATATGTAATCCAGATGTAACTTAATTGGATTAATCTTGATAACTCTCTTGTAGGCCCAGATTATCTCTTTGCCTGGCCCGCCAGGGCCACCTGGACCTGCCGTAAGGAATACAGTTTAATACTTCCTAACTAGATTTTTGAAAAGATAAAAAAGTAGTTCAGAAGCTTTTTGTTAAGGAAAGCTAAGCATACTAAACACCCCCTTCCCCCCATTCATTCCTTTCAGGGATATCATGGATTGCCTGGACCCAAGGTGAGACTGGGAAGCACTGTTGAAACTTCATGTTCATAGGAGATGAAATATTTAACATCAATCTAACATAAGTTTAAATATAACACAGGGAGAGCCTGGTGAGGCAGTTAAAGGAGAAAAGGGCGATGCTGGAGAGAAAGGTCCACCTGGGCAACGGGTAAGTTTTGCTGCAAAAACCAATATGCAGGAACCACATCAAGACTGGGTTGATACAGTTCTGCTGCTTGTGCTTAGGGTCTTCAAGGCTTTCCAGGGTCTAATGGCTTGGTAGGCCTGCCAGGTGCAAAAGGTGAAAAGGTCAGTGTTTTGTACACCTTAAACGACAAGTTAATAAGGCCTAAAATGACTACAAATAACCTGTTAATGTTTTTTCTTTTGTCATTGTGGTTTGTTTTCAAGGGGAAACAAGGTGAACCAGGTTTAGATGTAAGTAATCATTATGCTGTTAGTTATGTAAGTATATGAAGTCATTACTTACTGAACATGGCTCTCCTGTGATAGGGTTTCCCAGGGCTTCAAGGAGAAAAGGGGGACAGAGGAGACAAGGGGGAGAAGGTTAATGATTTTTGCTTTTAATACTGCATATATGGTATATTATTTTAAACTCAATTCTTAATGCTGTACGAGTACAATCTCACCAGCTTTATTCAAAACAGTTTCAATTTTACCATACCTCTCTTATGTGCTCTTATTTATTTCAACATGCAGGGTGACAGAGGTTCAATAGGAAAAAAAGGTCTGAAAGGACAGAAGGGAGAGCAGGGACCTCCAGGGCTTGATCAGCCTTGTCCTGTGGTATGTCATGAAACCATGTGAATGTTGTTGTTTTTTTTTATCCCTTCAATGCAAGTATATGGCAAAGTCAGCTCCATGTGCATGTATTGAAAGAATTTACTACAATTAAAATTTGACATGGATGGGTTTCACTGACAGGACTCCAGTGGGTTTAGAGAACATGGTGGGGAGGCAGGGGCTCCATCAGATGCCCCCTGCCCTTTGGAACAGTATTTTATTGTTTTTATTGTGTGTGCGCCCACATCATTTCGATGTTTCCATCCTGGTGCTCGGGGTTCCCTTGTCCACAACCATGAGATCTAACTCTCAGGATGGCTTGGCATAGACCAGAGCTTCTGAAATTCTTTATCACAAGTGTTTTTATAATTTCTAACAATGCAAAGTTTGCCCCATACACAAATTAATTCTAACCAGGGACATACAAAACTGCATATTTTTAAAATTGACAACTGTCAAGTGTTAAAAGGATAGTTCACCTTCAGTTGCTGGTCCCCATTAACTTCCATATTATGGGAAAAAAACACTGTAAGTCAATAAGGACCAACTGAAGGTGAACTATCCCTTTAAAGGTCCCCTGAAGTGCCTTGAAACACGCAGCGTTATTCTATGTGGTGACGTAATTTCAACTGAAACAGGAAGACAGGGCGGGACATATCGAGCAGCCCCGCCCCCTTTTTAAATTAGCCAATAGCGTTTTGTTTATATCTGCACGGGTCAGAGCCGTTGAGCTCGGTAAAGCCGCATTTGACAGCCACAGTCTAATAGATTACCCCCTAGATTCAATATGAAACTCTTAGTAAAACAAAATAGTGATCATAATCATGCTGAGGCTGTGTAGTTTTTAATATATGCTCACGCATATGATCCGCTCCGTGCGATCGCATCTCTGGACCAGAGCCAAAGTCCGGATAAGAATGTGCACACTGCCATCATTCGCATGACACAACGTGAAACCAGACCTCATTTGCCCCAATCGAAAGCATATTTACACTATCTGAATCGTTCCCTAGCACCTACATTGTACACTACGTGCCATTCACTGTACAAGAAATGCTACACTGTGAACAAAGCGACCGATTTCAGCCGCAGCTTCAGCATCTATTTATAGTGTAGGGGGCAGGCGCTTCGGCTTCTAGAGAGCGTTTGATTGGTCAGAAGATTTGATGAGAAGATGAAGTACGATGTGACGTCAAAAATCGTTGAGTGATTTTGGCGGAAGTGACGAACTAAAAGCTTTGAATGCTTATATCTTCTAAATGCAAAT